CAATAAGCCTGTGTGGAGGCATCCTTTCCTGCCCAGTCACTGGGCAAAGGGAGGCAGGGGCGGGAACTCTCTCAGTGGGTCTCAGGGTTGGACGACCCATTCAGAGCTCCGGTCTGTGGTGTGCCCCTGCTCCTGCCAGAGCGGAAGGACCCGCAAGGCCGGCGGCACTCACCCGCTTCTCCAGCATCCTCAGCAGCAGGCGGAAGCGCTCGTCCTCGCGCAACCCCGGGGGCAGCTCCTTCTCCCCGTGGCTCCGGGCTTGTTCGAGTTGCTCCTTGAGCTCCCTCAGCACCGAGATCTCCTGTGTCAGCTGGCTGTGCCAGGTCCGGGTGGCCTGCAGGTCTAACTCCAGGTCCAGCGAGGTGCGCATCAGGCGCTCGTGGCGCAGGGATTTGAAAGATGAAGGCTGTGGGGGTGGGAATGGCTCTGACTACTTAGTCATCCTTCAAAAATGCCCCCACGCCCTCAGCCCGATTTCTCCCATTCTACAGCGCATGTTTAGTGAGCATGGTTATGCCCTGTGGGGAAGCCGGGACTTGGTTGGAAAGTCTGTAAGGAGGATTCTCCGAAAGGTCGGGGGTCTCTGAGGGGACCTTGCCGAAGGCAGCCGCCCCTTCCTTGACTTTTCCAAACAAGTCCACGCTCCCGGGTGTTTTACTAGAATCTCTGTTTAGTCTGCAAACCCAACCTTGTGGAAGCATGTGCTCTCTCAAGGATACGCACCCTGCTGATTGTATCTAAGATCAATCTTAGTTCAAGACATTGGGGAAAAGGCAATGTCTTTACACAGAGATTGTAAAGACAATAAGAAGCTAACCAGGCAGACAATCAGGGCTGTTTCAGTTGCTAAAGCGAAACAGTCCCTTAGCCTTCTCTTTCACAGAAATGTGTGTCGGAGTCGTCTGTTCCTCCGCCACTCAGGGTCTGCTGGTCAGGCTCCGGCAACGTCCCAGGCTTGGTCCTGGGCACTTGACTCCATGACCCCAGTTCGTTTGCGCAAACCCTATGAGGTCCCTCCCGATGGTTACCACTGCACAGACGAGCTCCCAGAGGCTGTCACACATTGTGAGTAGCAGAGCGGAGATTCCACCCGAGGCAGTGGGCCCCAGACCCCATCCCTCACTCCCCTCACGGTGCCTGGCTCCCTGCTCTCCGTGTCCTCCACATTCCCAGTCTCAGTCAGAGCCTGCTTTTCTGTCTCCTGCCCTCAAGTTGCTTCCTCAGTGCAAGTCTGTCCCCTTTCTTGACTTGGTATTCCCGCAATGGACATCTATTGCTTCTGCGTGTGCAGCATCTACGCCCCCAGTCTCACAGGTAACCCATCATCTTCCCTTGGGGACCCACGCCTCCTCCATGCCCAACCCACGTGGTTCCTGTTGGGCTTCAGGGATAGGAACGTGACCTGAACCTGGCAAAGCAGAGCCACAGTGATTGCTTCCAGGGCGAGTATGTTCTCTCAGCCCAGACAATAAAACTCAATTCTGGGACCTTTGCGAGCGACTTGGGAAAAGGCAGTGTCTTTACACAGAGATTCTCAAACAGGCAAGTATAAACCTAGAACCGATCACAGTCATCTTCACTGTCACATGGAGTGACCCTGATTAAGAATTCAGCTAAAAAAAGATGAAGAAGAAAAGAGTCATAATATGCTATGTGGAGGGAGCAATGTCAATGGGGGGCACTGAGGTTTGATGACATTCTTTCAACTCCTGCATCAATCCATGCCCAAGACTAGTCCAACATCCTGCAGTTTCATGAAATGAGCCAATAAATTGTCCTTTTCATTTTTAAGCTACATTTGAGTTCTTCAGTTATCTGTATGCCTAAGATCCTGCATCATCCTATATAATAAAAGGCTAATATGCAAATCGACCGAACGACAGAAGAACTGGTTGCTATGACGTGCGCTGACCACCAGGGGAAGACACTCAATGCAAGAGCTGCCCCCTAGTGGTCAGTGTGCTCCCACAGGGGGAGCGCTGCTCAGTCAGAAGCCGGGCTCACGGCTGGGAAGTGCAGCAGTGGTGGCAGGAGATCCTCCCGCCTCTGTGGCAGTGCTAAGGATGTCCGACTGATGGCTTAGGCCTGCTCCCTGCAGTCGGACATCCCCCAAGGGCTCCTGGACTGTGAGAGGGATCCCCTGGAGTGCATGAATTTTCATGCACCGGGCCTCTAGTATTAGTATAATCATTAACTCTCCTCTCAAAACCCAGTAATGATTTAAAAAGAATGGCTAAGTGACTGTGGGAGACTGAATTCTAAGCTGGCCCCCAGGATCCCCACCCCCTCACAGACACGCCCAATATAATGCCTGCCCCTTCAGTGTGGGTGGGAGCTGTGAAGATAATGGATATCACTCCTGTGATTATGTAACTAATCAGTTGATTTGAATCATGCTGGGTGGGCCTGACCTAACTGGGTGAGCTCCTCAGTGATGAACTGCCCTTCCTGGAGATAGGCTCGCCGTAAAGAAGCAATACATGTATGGAGAGGGCCACATGGCAAGGACTGAACATCACCTCTGTGCGTTGTGAATAGCTCTAGACCTGCAGCTAGCGAGGAAATGAAAGATTATGCATCCTGCCAGCACCCCACGGGGGTGGGGATGTGACTCTCACTCTAGTCAAAATTCCAGATGAGCCAGCACCCAGATTTCAGCCTGGGGAGACCCCGAGCAGAGGGTCCAGCTGGCCTGTGCTGAACTCCTGCCCTCTGGGAACTGAGAGAGCGTGTTGTTTTCAGCTCTTAATTTGTGGTAATTCGTTATGCAGCAACAGGAAACAAATACAATGGCCAATAAAAGGATTTGCGAGATGGTGCGGAAACGGCTAGGATGAGCCCTACCCTCACTTCCACTTGCACAAGTACACTTTCAGGAACACCAGACAGCTCAGGGTAGAAGTTTTCTAAGGCTCATCCAGTCCAGTCTGTGCTCATAAATGAGCAGGGCCAGGAAATCCACTGCAGAAATCTGTGGCCCAAGTTCCCCAAGCAAGACATGAAGATTCTTCTGCGTGGCTCTGGCTGATGCCCAGGCTCAGAGCCTTGCCGGAAGCAGGCAGAGGCACAGCTCAGGTAGCGAGTGGGAGGATGGCAGCAACCCAGGCTCGGGCCCAGCCTCTGGGCTCTCCTGTCTCTTGGGCATAGAGGATCCGAGGGAAATGAGGGCTCAGACCAGCGTCAAGGCTCCCTTAGCAAGCCAGGCCCTTGGCTGAGCGGAAGAGGAGATCAAGAAGGGGGAACTCTGTGGGGCCGGCCTTGGAAGGGAGTTTGGGGGCACACAATGGCATTTCTCCGTCCAGAACGCTGAGGAGCCTATTGAAAACGCTGTTTCCTGGTGCCGAATTATACTGTCTAGGTGTGTGGCCTTGGAATCTGCACCATCGACAAGCTCCCCAGGAGACCCTGAGGAACCCACCAGAAGACGGGAGGGGGTGGGGGCTGAGTGGGCAGCTGGCCGTCTGTCCCTGTCACCCGAGGGAGGCCATGCCCAGCTTCTCCCTCAGCCAGCACTCTCTCCTCTTCCTGTGCACCCTCCTCTGCACGGCCTTCTCCTGCTCACTCTCACTCTTTCTGGAGATTCACGGGAGGGGAGGGGATTGCCGGAGGACCGGCTCCTGACTCAGGCCTCAGTGGGTCTGCAGGGGACGCAGAGGAGCCTTCCCTGCATGTGCTTTCACTCTGCTCTCTCTCCTGCTCCCCCTACTTCTCTTTCTGATACTCTGGCAGCCAGGTTTCTCCTCGTTCTGCAAACTCAGTGGAACTGCTGCAAAGTCTGAGCTACAAGCATCTCCTGCAGCCCTGGCGGGTGAAAGTCCGGAACAGGAGTCAGTCCTGGGCCAAACGCCACCCGACCCCAGTCCCTCAGCCACGCCTCCATAAGGAAAGGCGAGATTTCTCTACAGCGACCGTGGTGGCCTCTGCCCTGCCTGCTTCAGGCTGGACCAAGAGAATCCCGCTCACACGCCGGCCTCCGGTCGCTGCCGGGGATGCCCGGCTTCTCTGCCAGCTGGAAGGGCTGTCAGGACCCTGACCCGCTCAGCCAGCTGGACACACTGACACACTGAGCGGTCTCCTGTGAGGCAGGCTCCATCGGTGACCCTGGTATCTTCGGCGATTTCCAGCCAGGAAGGCCCCTTCTGCCGAACCTATTCCTCAGGATAATAACATTACATATCCCCTACGGCACGTTCCCCAGGGCCTACTCAGGCCTGACAGTTCACAAACTTCCATCTGCAAAAACCACCACTGTTGCAAGAGCGACCTGTTCACACCAGAGGCCGCGGAGCAACGGTCAGACACCCGGGCATGTGCTTGGGAGGTGACGGGGGAGGGGCTCACAGGGGCCCCGAGGAGGCCGCCTTACCCGCTTCACGCGGACGCTGCGCCGCTCCAGAGAGTTTCGAACGAAAGGTGGCTTCTTGGACAGCGTGGAGCTGTCGCTGTCACTCCGATTCAGCTGCAAGAAAGAGCCATGAAGTCATTGAAGGGCCGAGGGCATTCAGAAGGCACGCGGGGTCAGGCGGGTGGTGGCGGGGCCAGGCGGGTGGTGGCGGGGCCAGGAGGGTGGTGAGGGCCTCCCCGGCTCCCAGCCCGGCCCTTTCTCTCTGGTGCAGACACTCAGAGTTCTGTTCCCTGGGCCTGCAGGAGGCAGCTTCATTCGGCCTCTCTTTCCTTTCCAGGTGAACGTTCATCGAGCATGTACTCAGCACAATGCAAACTGCAACCTGCTATACTCGCCATATCTCATTTAATCCTTCCAACAACCCCGGGGGATTGACAGTGGTTCCATTTGAGCCATTAAGATGGGCTCTGTAGGCGACAGGGAAGATTCACACTGTCTGGTGTCAACCCTACTATTCTGCTGCCAACTCGCCAGGGATATAGACACGGTGAGAGTAGCAGGATTTGCACCCAGAACCGTGAGGTGAAGGCTACCTCACAGGAAGCCGGTGCTGTGAGAGGGGCAAGGGCCACATGTTTGCTTACCCGGCACACGTACTGGCTCTGGGGTCCGGGGGAGAAGGTCTTGGAGCGGATGATGGTGCTTCCTCGAAGAAATGGCGCTGGGGACGGCGTGCCCACCCACCGGTCCTTGGGCTGCATCACTGTGGGCGACGGGGCAGGGGTCTCTGTGTTGGTCTCTTTGTCCACCTGAGGAAGACGTCAGAGCTTTGAGACCACGGAGTTTTAGCCACTGGCCCCGAGATGCTCCCCACGCCTGTCACTTCGCCTCTGTCCCACGGACACAGCTGGGCGCTTCTTGGGCGCCCACCCTGCACAGCCAGGACAGCACCCCAGGCCCGAGGCCGGCCCCTATTCCTCCAGGACACCTGTGGCTGGGGCTGGTGGGATATTCAGCATGTTCAGTCCCCAAACAAGCTCCTGTACCTGAAGCTCTATGGCCTGAATGTCACACCCCCATCCCAAGCCACACACATTTTGTCAAAGCCACACCAAGGCCCCCGCTGCCCCAGCCAAGAGCTGCTGATGTTTTATTGGAATTATGGAGGCAACCAGCAAATCTCCTTACTTAAACCGGGGGACCAGGTTTTCTTTTCTTGTTAAAATATGTTTTTATTGATTTTTAGAGAGAGAGATAGAAATATTGATGAGAAAGAAACTTCATTGATCGGCTGCCTCCTGCACGCCCCTACTGGGGATGGAGCCCGCAACCCAGGCATGTGCCCTGACTGGGAATCCAACTGGTGACCTCTTGGTTCCTGGGCTGATGCTCAACCACTGAGCCTCACTGGCCAGGCTAGGGGACCAGGCTTTATACCGTCCTTTCACGGTAGTCACCAGTAAAAGGTAAGCAAACAAAAACCACGGAAAGGCAGGGCCTCCCTTAGCCTTAACAGCACCTTTGTGTAATTTTGAAAAAGGAGCCCCCTTTGTCTGGAGAAACTTCAAAATGCTTTCCCCTTGGTGTGGGTTAGAAGGCAGCCCGGGATGCTTCTGGACATCCCTTGGCAGGGCACCTCTGTGCCATGCACCACCTTCAGCTCCACCCCCGGGTGCCCTGCCAGCACAACGGGAGCTCTATGTCCAGGAGCCCTGCAGGTGGAAGAACAGAGACCCCTGGAGAGCGAGTGCTGTTGTCACGCAAAACCCGAGAGCAGCAGGGAAGCAGGAGGCAAGGGACTGGCCCCTGGACTCTCTCCTCCTCCTGCACTTGGACCCTAATGAGGAAACACATTCCTTCAAAACCCTAGAACCTGTCTTCGAGGGGAGTATTACTGTGTCCAGTTCAGAGACAATGAAATGAAGGCTTGAGAGGGATGAAGTCGTCTGCCCAGGATTCTGCAGCTGGCGGATAGCAGAGCCCGCATCTGAACCCAGACCCATCACCTGACTGCAAAGCTTGGGGTCTGTCCAGAGAAATGGGGAAAAGGGCAGACTACAGGAGGGAAGAGGGGGCGCGTCAGCCTCTCCGGGTTCACTGTTAAGGGAACGAGCCAGATTACAGGCAGGGACACTGCGGTACGCCCTCTGCTGGGCACTCCATGGCGGGGGGGGGGGGGGGGGGGGGGTTGGGGGGGAATGGGCACTGGGGGGGGGGGGGGGGGGGGTGTCCCTGATGCTGGAGGAACATTTGACCCTGAACCTTTCGCGATTGCCTGGGCTCAAGGACTGAGTGCTAGTTCCCCCAAGTCAGCCCTTCTCATCGCCCCAGCCCTCCCTACCTTTACCGCCGGGGACTCTTCTGGATCTGGTGAGGATTTCTCAGCAAAAACCTCCTCCTCTCCCTCCTCCGCTGCAGTCTCGTTGTCACTGGTCTCCTCCTCAAACCTCCTGTGATGACAAAGAACTTTGGTTACTCGCCCAGAGTCCACTCTGACCTGCTCACCGGCCTTTAAGCCCTTTCAGGAGAGAGAACACATTTTTGGGTGGAAGGGAGGAAATTGATTGTAGTGCATAGTGAGACGAGTCTGGGCCAATGTAATTCCCCTGCATCATCACTACCAGCATCTAGACCACTCCACCCCGAAAGGCTCCCTTATCCCCTTTCTCAGTTAACTTCCCCCCAAGCCCAGCCCGGCACTGATCAGCTTCCTGTCACTACTGATGAAATCTCATTTTTCTAGCATTTCATATAAATGGAAGCAGATAGTATGTGCTCTTGTCTCTGGCCTCATCTGGTGACTGTATCAACTCACTCTTCTTTATGGCCGAGGAACCATCCATGGTATGGATGTGCCACCATTTGTTTAGCTACTGGAAGCGAAGAACATCTGGATCGGTTCCATTTCTTAGCAATTGTAAATAAAGCTTCTACAGACAATCACGTGGATATAGGTTTCCTTTCTGTTTCTCTCGGATAGTGTTAGTTTGCCAGAGCTGCCCTAACAATACCACCCACCGGGGTGGCTTAAAATAACAGAAATTTGCCCTAGCCGTTTTGGCTCAGTGGATAGAGCGTTGGCCTGCGGACTAGAGTGTCCCAGGTTCGATTCTGACCAAGGGCATATGCCCGGGTTGCAGGCTTGATCCCCCCAGTAGGGGGCATGCAGGAGGCAGCCAATCAATGATTCTCTCTCATCATTGATGTTTCTATCTATCTCTCACCTTTCCTCTCTGAAATGAATAAAAAATATATATATATTTTTAAAAAACTATAGTTAAAAAAACAACAACAGAAATTTATCCATTGCCGGTCTGGAAGCTAAGAGTCCAGGATCAAGGTGTGGGTAGGTTTGGTCTCCCAAGGCTTCTCCCTGTGGCTTGCAGATGGCCACCCTCTTGCTGTGGCCTCACGTGGCCACGTGGCTTTCCCTCTGTGTGCGCATGCTTGGGGTCTATGTGTCCAAATGCCCTCTTCTTCTTCTTTTTTTTTTTTTTTAAATATCTTTTTTTGATTTTAAAGAGAGGGGAAGGGAGATAGAGAGTCAGAAACATCGATGAGAGAGAAACATCGATCAGCCGCCTCCTGCACATCCCCC